TGGTGGACGGTGGTGGTGGTGATCAGTGGTGGAGCCAGGGGCGAACCTTTGAGGGGGCACAATAGTACACTACGGGGTTGGAGGATAGCATCATATTTTTTTAAATGAAATTACAAACAAATGTTATTCGAATTATGCCAAAAAATAACCAAAAATGATAGCTCACAAAACGAAGTAAGATTTAAAAAATTTTCAATTTATTTTATTTAAAGATCGATACGTAAATAAAAATCTAACTTACATGTTCAAAAACTACGGAGTACGTCAAATCTTTTACAACATGAGTGGTTACAAAAATATTTTATTTTATCAAATAATCAATGAAAACATACAAATAAACAAAAATTTCTGTGATTTCAGAATAGTTAAGAAAGAAGATAATTTTGGGACAAAGAGAGTATTATTTAATTTATTATTGCATATGCTAATTTAAATTTTTTCAAAGTCTTGACTTTAAAAAATTAAACCCGAATTTCAATTTAACAGATAACAAATTAGTTTTATAGTAATAAGCATCAAGTATCATAATCTGATACTTAAATACTCGGTAGTAAAAAGCATCCCATAATCATCACCAAATATGGATTAGCAAACAAAGCTTTGGATAACACCTAAAAATTAGTCAACAAATATTTGGGTAGACGGTGAGTCAACAAAAAGAAAAGAAACCAATAAGGGTTTAGATTCCTAATCGATACGGCGTCGTTTTGTTTCATTTTTTTAAAATATAAACATTCCAAAATATAACACATTAAATCCTGGAAAGTAGCAAACCCATGCAGGCCGTCGTCTTCGTTGTGGGGGCACTTTCATCATCAGAGACTTCAACAGGTGATCATCCTCTCTTCACCGGAAGTTCATCGGGGGGGCACTTGCCCCGGCGGCCCCTCCCCTGGCTCTGCCCCTGGGTGGTGATGGACAGTGGTGGTGGTGAAGAGAAGTAGAAGAAAAAAAATGGAGAAGATGTTAGAAGACATAGGTTAATGTCTTCTCCAAGAAGATGCCAGGAAGACCTTTTTGAGTGAAATGTTTTCCAAAAAACAAACAATCTGCAGAGCTCAACATCTGCGCGCGTCTGCGCGGCGCAGACAAAAGAGGCCAGCTTCTGGCCAAAAAACAAACACCCCCTTACTCTCATGTCTTCATTCATTATTCTATCCATCTGTGTAACCCTAACCTTGTGTTCATGCTCACCCTTTGCTGCCCAACACTCTCTTCCATACAACATAGATGCCCAACCAATTACCAACTAATAAGTTTAAAAAATATATATACAATATCATACTAAAAAACAGAGGTTCATGTCTTATATACATATTGGGTATCCCTCCTAAATGAAGAAACAGAAAGTAGTTCCTAAACCATATATTTGGAGTTAAAAATGTTATTGGTTGAGATGTGTGATTCCATAATAATAATGATTATTATTATTATTATTATTATTATTATTATTATTATTATTATTATTATGATTATTATTATTATTATTATAATTACTAATCATTTTTATATTTTGATGGTTCATTATTGTTTGAATGGGTCAAAGTGAAAGCAGAGCTGCCACTCCTGTTGTTGGCAGCATCAAAAAGCAAAGAAAAAAAACATGACCGATTTTGAATAAGGAGATGCCTAGTTATAAATAAGAATGTGTTTAGAAATTGCTTAATCAAAAAATTGTGGTAATGATTACACAACTTATTTATGATAGTGAATTATAGCTTTGTTACTCCTCAACTCATTGCCATAAAGCTTGGAGACTTTGGCTATGTCACTTAACAATTTTGTGAAGTCGAGTTTATTGGATGAGACTAGAATAAGTGATTTGAGTTCCTCCAGCAATTTAGATCAGGCTCATGTTGCTGAGATACAAGGTTGCGGAAGACACGAACATACAGATGAGACTTATGAATCCAGGGGAGGTCTAAACCAAGAAGCAATGTGAATGCTTCTATTGTGATAAATCGGCTCATAAGAAATCTCAATGCAAAAAGAGGGAAATAGTCAAACTTTAGATAAGAAATAGGAGAAAGACACATTTGCCTTTGTAGATGCAAAAGATTTATTTTTGTTTGTGATGATGCTAGCATCGATGTAACTTTTCAAGATTGCACTTCATCTCGCACCTCACAGACGGTACTTCTCATCTCAAACTAACAGTGGCTTTGGCTATGTGAAGCCTTAGAGATGTCAGACATCTTCTAGAGACATTTTCTAGGGTCCAATACAACCTCATTTCAGTTGCAGGACTTGATGGTATTATGTTAACCGTTTTGGTTAAGGAAAGTGGAGGTGATTAGAATATTGCACCCTCCACGAAGACAACGCACAAGAGGAGAGTTGTCAAACTATCCTCGTAAAGGTAATATTCCTTCTCCTAGCATCCAGTCAGTTCATGGGGGAGAAGCTTGAGAACAATGTAGTGGCGATGATGATGTTGCTCGTGATGGTGATGTACATGACCCACCACTTGTTGAGCATGGATTTCAACCAATGAGGGATCAGAAAGATGTCAAAATGGCGCATTAACAAAAGCGGGTCCAAGCCAAGCAAGATGGGGTACACATGACTGGTTCAGTTATGAATTGTTCAAAAAATAATAATCCCAAGTTGAATTCCCTCAAATGATCTAAACTGCTGAATTAGTTCATGGAATATCCTACAACTGAGTAGATTTTTCAACAAAAAATAAGGACAATCCCCTAACTATACTGTTCAACAAATATAAAGAAGAAACTGGAGAGTTTAACAAACCTTGAATCTGGGGATTTTTCTGAAGGTTCTTTCTCAAAGTTCCATGTAATGAAGCCGGGCAATTGGAAATTCACAGAAGTGAAATTCTGAACTGAACCCAAGTCAATAGGGATGCCAATTCCAGAAAGCGACGGAAGAGCGGAAGAAGTCGGCACAATCGAGGCAGCCCAATTGGCCGCGCCGTCCAGATTAACCCAATGCGGCTTCCACGCCCACCCCACCAGCACCCCAACGGCGACGGCGAACCAGAGAGGCGTCATGGACATTAACAGGTCTAAGATCGCATATCCAATCGCCCTGTTTTGCATTACTTCAAATAAATCCATTTTTTTCCGGTGAATCGTTGTCGCTTTGACGGTTAAGTTGTGGTTTGGGATGATATATAGATAGAGTGCTGAATTGGAGATTGTTCAGCTTCTTCACTGTGTTCAAACGGGCAATGGGGTCTATCTTCATTTGGAATTTCAGTGTTGAAGCAGACGAACTCGGGACTCGAAGCATTGATGGGGTAATGGAGAAGTTTGAAGGCTCCGCTTGCTTGTCTACACGGTGAGAATATACAATTTGGGGAAATACGGAGTACCTTTTTCAAAACTATGGAGCTGAAAATTTCAATATCTTTTCATTATCAAATTTGGATCAAAATAGAAAATAATACCTCTCATGTTTTTTTAAAATTTAATTCTAAAATTCTCGTATTTTCAAAACGTTGAATTTCTAAAATTATAACTATATATTTGAATGTTTAGATTCTGATTATGAATAATAAAACTTCTATGACAAATTGATTATATTATGATGAAGGTATCGTATATGATTATATTATAATTATAAATCTACTGTGCTAATTTAATAATCAAGGTTATTTAGAAGAACTCTAAAATAGATCTCATGTGACCAATTTAGTTAGGCCTTGCGGGTGTGTACATCCTGTGGCTCGGATTAAAACGTACGTATGAAATCCTCGAACCATTTGGAAATATTCCATCTAAGGGTACCACCCAACCCCATGGTGAGTATACCGTCATTCGGTTTCTGAGCATGACCTATAAATTCATAGAATAAGTCATGATTTTGTGTTTTGCCTTAAACAAACCATAGTTTAAGAGACTCGTTAGCAATAATTGTCTTAGACTAAGAATAGTTTAATTTAAGAGCTTTGTTATTAATATAAATTAGTCTTAGACTAAGAATAGTTTAAGAGCACTGTTATAAATAAATTGATATGGAATTAGTCTTAGCCTAAAATAGATTAAGAATAATTCGTTATGATAAAACATATGAGTGACAAATGATGAATATTGTGATAAATAGAATCCTACTAATGACATGTGATTTTTGTGAGCTGTGAATTGACTACTGTACAAGTTTAAATGATGAATATTTCTAAGTTGATTATATTCATTACCACTTTAAAATAACAAAGACGATTTTAAACATGAAAAAGTGAATGTTTGAACAGATGTATGTGATTGAAATTGTGAAAGAAAGAATTCTGTTAATTCATTTGCAGTGTCACAATACCACTCAGCTTCATTGCTGAGCATGTATACTTTTTCATCTTTCTACGCGTAGGTATAAGAGAGAATAAATGTGTAGTCTATCCTAGAGGATACTGAGATGCAGGTGATGCGTGGACGTGCAGAAATTTACTATTTGAGTAAATGATTTTATCACGTATTGAATTATGGATTGATCATACTGTTGTAATTTGCAAATCGCTTCCGCACTGTTTTAAATAATTATACTTTGATGTTATTCCAAATATTTTGCACAATTGTTTTAAAAATAAAGTTTTAAATGTTTTAAATTATGATGTTACCAAATTAATATATTAGTCCGAAAAAGGTTGCAGACCTGGATGGATTAAGGTGTTACAATTTGGTATCGGAGCAAATGATTTTAAAATTGGTCTTCGTACAATTTGACTAAATTGTTTTCAAAATTGTGCGTTTGCATCCTCCACTTCATCTCAGCTCCAGGAAGGTAATAAACTATTTGTTTTAAAAAATAAAAACTAGAGGATATTGCCATTGTTAGAAGTTAGAGATTACTAACCAAAAAAATAAAATGAATTGTGACATATTTTATAAATGAAAGTTCGTTATACAAAAGTATAAACTTGTTGATTTTGAAAATCGATATATTTAAATTTTTACAAAGAATTAGATATTTTTAAAAATAATTATTGAAATATTTGGTTGTTGTCCAAGGGCTATCATAAAATTTTCTGCATAAAAAAATATTTCAAAAAGATTGTGTAAATGATTATTACACACTATGGATATTATCTTTATACCTTGAAATATATAGGAAAATAAAATGTTGACTTTCATAAACAGAAGTTTTTGAAAGTATTATGTTGAAAAAAAGAATTTTTCTCTAAGATTATGTGTTGATGTGTTTGAAGTTTTTCCCTCAAATAAGAATTTTGGTAAAAGAATATTGTTTTGATTATGCAATGTTTAAAAAAATCATTACAAGAGTACGTGTTTTTTTCAAAAATAATTGTGGGTCGAAAATCGAAATCTTGGAAAGTATCTTATAAGTTATTTTCATAAAAATGTAATATTGACCTTTTGAAAGGTATTTTGTAAAAAAATGCTATTTATTAGCCACTTGGTGGAAGTATACAAATAAATAATGTTGATTAATATTTTTGTTCTGAAAAAGATAATTGAATCTAAGTACCACTATAGGTCTTTTTTTTACAAAAAAAATAATATGTTGAAAGATGTTTCAAATAAAGATTACTTTTGAAAAGCTTTTGTACGATAAGCTTATTTAAGACAAAATGGTTTATAAAAAAGTGTTTGTGTAACCCTTATACCTAGTTTAAAATGTTTATACCAATTATTTTAGATATCAAATCTTTTGATAAATTATTTTTGTCTAGCTAACCGTGTGACAACATATACCTTTTCTTAATCACTATTGAGAAATTATTTTAACAAAATCATTGGATTTTGATTTTCACATTTAATAAATTATTTTGATAAGTTATGCTATTAAATTGGTCTATGTTTAACCACAAAGCGTTATTATAAAAAAATTCAAGAAATAGAGTCTTCTTATGATTGATGGATTGTGTCACTATCAAATGATTTAATCAAATTATTATTCTGAATTAAATTTTGATATACTTTACATTCGTGTGAAAAGTTATTTTACAAATACTCCCTCCGTCCATAATTAATGTTCTCGGTTTGACCGGGCACGCACTTTAAGAAAAAGTAAAAAAGCCATTGACTTTCCCAAAATACCCCTCCTTCCTTACTCCACCTCAACCCCAAGCGATGGTCAACAACCGCAGCAGCCACCCGCCAATCTGCCAGAAAAGGATTCCATCTCAAGTCTGAGAAGTGGAACTTCTTCATGGTCAAATCGCGCTTATGGTGGAGGTAGAGAAGAACCATCCATTCTTAGGTGGAGGAGAAATTTTGCCACAACCCACAGGATTCCGAGCTTGACCAAAACAACCCTTCCTCTGACCGTAGATCTGTGCATTCAACCGAGAATATATTTTTGCAATCAATCCCAATTTTCGCAGCAATGAACGAAATAAATTTTTACCTCCGATTGCCGCCTCGCTGTTTTGCTGCTACGTCTGACCGCCACCTCGCTGCTCCGCGCATTATCTCCACCCGCTACTACCTCCATTTCAAATAAATCTAAAAAAGAAAATTTCAAATAGATCTAAAAAGGGAGGAAGAAGGCAAGTTGAGACAAAGAAGAAGAAGAAGAAGAGTTGGTGGGTGAGATTCAGTGCAGATGAAAAGAAAAAAAAGAGATAAAAGAAGAGTTGACTCGCAAAATAAGAAATGGGTGGCCATGGTTAAGATAAGAGGAGGTGATGCACGAACTACTTTTAAGGGCAAGAAAGACATTTCACAACTAAAAATATGCCTAAAATGGAAATGAGAACTTTAATTTTGGACGTCCAAAAAAGGAAAGTGAGAACTTTAATTATGGACGGAGGGAGTATTTCTTTTTCAAAAGAGTTATTCCAAATGATTGGTGAAATGATTAAAATTGATAGATATTATCATCTTGAAAGTTATTTTGAAATTTGACTATATTATAATGTATGATCAATATGACATTTTTCTGAATATGATTGATTCTTTATGAATTTTATTTCATAAAAATATTCTATGTTGAATGTATAAAAAATGTAGATTTGAAACTATTGTATGAAGAAATTTATCTTACATAAAATATTGGGACTAATTTTGAAAGTCATGCAAAAAAAATTTGTTGAAAATTTTATGTAAGTATTTTTGATGAATCATTTTAAAGAAAATAAATCTAGAATATGCATTTTGAAACTCATCAAATTTTGATGATTGTTGAAAACATGTTTATTAGGCAATGATATTTTTTAGATAATTTTTTTTGGGATGAAGGGAGTATATTGAAGAAGACAAAAAGGAACACATAAATTCAATCTTTAGCATTCATATACTCCCTCCGTCCCATATCTTTCTTCCCGTTGCACAAAATGAAGAAAACCCTCAAGTTTTTTCAATCTATTTTATTTAAACATTGGTATAAATAAAAAATAAAATTTACATATTTAAGAACTACATCAAAAGTTAATAAAACAAGCGGTCACAAGAATATTTTATTTTATCATATAGACAATGAAAAAATGCAAATAAATAAAAGTTCTCGTGAAGTTAGAATAGTGCTCTAGGGTCCAATCAAAATAAAGTTCTTGATTGAATTATATATTGACGAATCAATTAAAAATTATATGAATGATCATTATAATACTTTTAAATTATTTTAATAGTTTTAAGGGGCTGTTTGGCAACTTCTGAATGGATAAGTGCTGAACCAGTAAGAGGTCTGAACCATTAAATGCTGAACCAGTAAGAGGTCTGAACCATTAAGAGCTAGTATATTGCTTAACTATTCAGAAGCAAATGTCTTATCAATTCAGATAAGACCTCTTAACCATTCAGACTCTGTATAATACTTAATCATTCAGAGGCAAATCTCTTAACCATTCAGACATCTGAACCATTAAGAGGCAGAAACAAACAGTTTGAACCATTAAGTGCTGAATCATTCAGACATCTGAACCATTAAGAGGCTGAAACAAACAGCCCCTAAGTTTAAGTAGAATCTAATTTAAATTCAATTCCACCATATCAAATCTAATCAAATCACATGCAATAAGATCAGATTCAATCAGATCATATCAAATCAAATCAAAACAGAATGGATCAGATAAAATTTAATCAGATCAAATCTAATTAGAGGAGAACTTCAAAAATTCAGAATAAATTCAATCAGATCAAGGTGTATAAAATAGAGCATGTATCAGACTCTCGGACTTTCTGATTAGGCATTCAACCTCTTATGTTGTGACTAGCACGAGATGCACTACGTGCATAAGGTGCATTAGGTGCCCAAGGTATTGGAAGCGGAATACTCCGTATA